CCCCCCCCCCCAGCCAGGCTGCAGCCCCACACCAAATCTTTGCCCTACAGCCATGCAACAGCCCCCCCGTCCCCCTGCCAGGCTGCAGCCCTCCGCCAAGTGACCGGCCAGAAATGCCCTGGCACACAGCCCCTCCCCCGGCCATGCTACAGCCCAAGCCCCCCCCAAGGCTCCTGCCTGGCCCAGCCCCTCCCGCGGGCGCATCGCAAGCAGCGACTCACCAACACAGCGTCCGTTCTCGTGCTGAGAGAACCCCTGGCCACACTGCATCAAGGGGAGAAGCACAGACCCGGGGGGCTGGGATTAGTGTGGGGAGGGGCTGCCCCAGGCCCCCCAGCTCAGGGCCCGCCCTGTCTGCAGCCAGGCAGGAGCACGGGGCACTGACTCCCCAGCGCTCCGGAGCCCACACACCAGGGACGGCGTCGCACAGGGCAGGGCAGCTGGCAGAGGTGGCTGGGCCTGGCCTGCCTGGGTGAGGCCAGAGGCACCATGTCCCTGGCCTGTCCCGTCCAAGCGGGTGTCTGTCTGTCTGCGTCCTGTTGTTGGCTCCCTGTGCCCTGTCCCCCTCCCTGCCTCTGGGAGCTGCCCCCGGCCCGCCCCACTCCGGGCCAGGTGCGCTGCTTGGCACTCACCTCCAGCGAGGTGGGTGGGAGCTGCCCCTCAGCACCCTGGGGGTAGGGGATCTCCAGCACCGAGTTGGTCTCGCTGCTGGCCACAGCCCGGGTCACGACCCTGCCGTCCGGCCACGTCACCTCCAGGCTGCTGGCTTCGTCCCGGCCTGCGGAGGAGGAGCCATCAGAGCGGGCAGCCGGGGGGCCGGGCGAGGGAGCAGATCTCAGCAGCGCAGGCCGCTGTCCGCCCAGGGGACCCTCCTCTCCCTGCTGAGAGCAGCAGCTTGGGGGGCAGTGGGGTGGGCAGGGTGAGGGCCCAGCGCCAAGACACCGTTCGGTCCAGTTCCTGAGTGCTCGGCTGTCCTGCTCACCCCACGGGCCTGGCTGGGCCGGAAACGGGGGGGCTCAGGGGGCCTGGAAGCGCCCGCCTCTCTGCACAGCAGCAGCTTGGAGGGGGCAGCAGGGGCTGCTCAGCTCCCCCTCCCGGCCCAGGCAGCAGGCACCTAGCTGCAGCCAATGCTTTGAACCCCAACAATGAGACCCCCCAGCCCCCCAATCTGTTAGCCACCAAATCTCTGGGCCAGAGAGTGTTAAAGAAACAGACCCCTCCACAGCAGAGCGGGGGAAGAACCCAGGGTGGGGTTAGCAGATGGCTGCGGGTTGGGACTGAGGGGCACCAGCAGGGCTGTGGGGAGCCCAGGGCTGGATAAGCAGGGGCTGCGGGTCAGGAGTGAGGGGCACTGGCAGGGCTGGGCAAGCAGGGGCTGCGGGTCGGGAGTGAGGGGCACCGGCAGGGCTGGGGAACACAGCAGGGAGTCTAATGCTGCCCTGACCGCATGTCTCAGCTCCGGCCAGGAGCCGCAGACGGATGCCCAGGGCTTCCTGGGGGCCCTGGGCAGGGCCAGGCTGCCGGCGACTCACCTAGGCCGAAGTGCGCCACGGGCTCCATCTCGCACAGGTAGCCCGAGCCGCCGTCGATGATGCGCAGGTGCGCCCCGCTGCGCCGGGTGAACAGCACCACCCTGGCCCCCCGCGCAAAGGCCCCGAAGCGGGTGCGCGGGATGACGCGGAGCCAGTTATTGCCAGCGCCCTGCGGGGGACAGACGGGTGAGACGAGCCGGGCAGAGGGGTGGGGATTTTCTGGGAAGTTTGTAGGAATACTCGGTGTGCCTCCGTTTCCCCCCTGCTGCTGTCACCTGGGGGTGGAGAAGGGCTGGATACGTGGGTGTGTGGACCAGGCTGTAGCCTCCTGCTCGGGGTGCTCCCCAAGGCCTGCCTAGCTGGGGTCCAGTCCCTCCTAACCCCCTGCTGTAACCGCGCCGGCTGCGCCCCGGCAGGTGCTGGAGGTGGGGGGCATTGCACCCCTGGGGGTCCATGTCTCTCCGGTGGACTCGCTGAAGGGAGCTCACGGCGTGAGCCAGGGGTGCTGAAGGCTCGGTCCAAGGGGG